TTGTAGCAGATGAGGAAGGATTGATTCAAACCAAAGCTTGATTCCAGAATCAGGCTACCTGGTGGAAAAATCAATAGATTGATGAAAAAGTGATCGAATTACAGTGAGTTTAGATGAAGAAGTTGAATAAGAATTACAGTGAGTTCAGTGAGTTCAAGTGATAGAAGTAGAGAGATGAAAAAGTTGAAATACGAATGAATGATTCGAAGAGACTCATTGAGAGAGAGAGAGATTATACCGTTGGAGATCTCTTCTTCAGACGACCATGGTGATCTATAGAGCGAAATCGAGAGAGGGAAATCAGATTCTCTTACTCAGACACAATCGAGCGAAATCAGATTTGGGGGAAATTAGAGTTAAAAAAAAAAGGAAAATATAAATTGGGCATAGTGGGTTCGCAAGTTTCTGCTTAGGCTGGGGTTCATAAGTTTTAGCTTCGGCTAATCTGCCGTTGCAAATAATTTTTTTTTGCAACGGTCAAATAATTAGACGCAAAAAGTTATTTTTCTAGTAGTGCAAACGACATTTCTTGATCATAATCTATTGGAAATTCAATCACCCGCTTCTCTGCAGCCCCCGAGTCCTTCCTTATGACCTCAGCTCTAACACAATCTGAAATGACAGTCATGAAATTGTCGATTTGCTTAAGTTTGGCTTGTCTTTGAGAGATTTTCTTGATTCACATGTAAAATTGTGGAATTGAGGGCTTTCTGGATTGGGTTAAAAACAAGTAGGCGTCCCACATCAATACACGTTCGCACGTGTTGTAAGGAATCCAAAGGCTCTTCAATTGTCAAGTCATAAACATTTTCACAAACTGCAACATTATTAAGCACCTCTAGAAGATGACGGCCGTAACCTTTGCGCTGGTAAGGAGGCAATACAAATATCTGCCCACAATAGAAATAGAAATCTCATCAAATGCTAGAAATAACCGCATCTTTTTTTTGGAATGAGCTAAAAAAAACTACAATTTTTTTGAAACTTTTTAAAAAAAATTCTCAATTTTTTTTACTTTTCAAATCTGTCTAGTCTAGAATGATTTAAAAGGTCAAAATAATTATAAAAAAAAAAAAAAGGTTAACTAAAGTAAAAAAAAAGTCAACTTCTTTCAAATAAATTTAAATTTTTAATTTTTTACTTTTCAAGTCAGTCTAATTCAGTAGAACCTAAAGTGTAAGGCTTCTTGAAACGTTTTACTAAAAAATTCACTAAAGACGAAAAAAAGCCAAACAAAAAGTTTCTAAAAAAGCAATTCTCAAACTCCACTGACATACAAAATCAAAGATATCAAACACGCATCTTAGAACCACCAAATCCAGGTTCTGTTTAATTCAAGCTAACAAGTTATTAATGTAAAAAAGTGTAAACCTGACTAAGCCGCAAGCGCAAACTGTCGGGGTAATGGTAAAAACGATAAATCGCTGCAAAACCAAGCAATCTAAGTTATTGCCGCCCTGCAGATCAATTTTCTTCTGAACTATGAGAAGAATCTCGCATCTTGGATCAATAATGTCAATAGGATTGCTACCTAATTCAATGATATGAATGGTTAAAAATTGCAGCTCAATTTTATTACAAGGAATGTGATAAGAAAGCACAGAGGTGAAAAATTACCATCTACAAGGATAAGAACAAGAGGTACCAATCGACTGTAGAGGTGCCCAACAGGCATCGTTCCCACCACAACCCGAATAACCTGGTCCAATTGGAAAGAAACCATAATTATGACAATCAAAAGAAAATAAGAACTGTCATTATCAACAAAAAAAATTCAAGCGTAATGGCTACACTGTGTTCTAAAATGCAACTATGACGGGGGGAATTTGTTTTTCTTTTGTTTACTTATTTATTATTTTTGCGGGTGGGGGTGAGAAGATGCAAATGGATTTATTGAGTATGTTCTCATCCTTAATCTTCCCAAGAACGAACGAGGGAACAAGTCTACTAGCAAGGAGTCTTTGAAAGGCAAGACATTTTCGAAAGTCTACAACTCAACAAGCCTTGGTCCTGCTTACTTGGGGCCAGCTACATGGATCAATTTCCTGCCATTGGCTCCATTCACAATCACATTCTTAGTCAAGTTCACGATAGTCATGTCATTTCTTATCACTTCAACCCAAGTTCTCCCGCGTCTTCCTACATTTCTTTTGTCACCCTCTATGTGCATCAAATCAATACTCCTTACATGAGCATTAATTGGTCTATGATGCATAAGATCATAAAATCTCCAATGATTTACCTCATTTTATCTTCAATTAGTGCCGCTTTTAACTTCTTTATATTGAATTCATTTATTATTATCAATTTTCTTTTTCGTAAGTTAAATTTCATTTCATAAAACAAATAGATACAACCCTTACAGGGGCATCCTCCAGTCAAACCAGTTATAACAAAGATCAACAGCCTAGTAACTTTCAACAGAACAGATATTTTCACAAACTACACACATAAAAGAACTATCAACTAGCTATCGAGTATTTAGCTATTCCTTCATCTCATCCAATACTGACCCCTGTTGGGGAAATCCCCTAGAAGAACATAACTTGTTATTTGTATGACTATTTTATATTCTCCCATGAATATAATCTTGCTCTTATGTCATTGATCACTTTATTTAGAACTGAATTTGCATCTATCCTTCTGTG